TTTCTAGGATAAGAGTATTTCGTAAGAGTAAATTATCGGCATAAAGGATAAGTGTATGACAGACGTTCTTTGACATAAGCTTTTCATCAACTTTCTGCTCAAACACTGGTGACCTTTGATAAGCTCTTGAATACCGAATGAGTTCCCATATGCAGGTAAAGTTGATATATTGCTGCTAAGGTGAGGGAAATTTATAATTTATAATTTCAAAATTAAAACCGTCTCGTTTGTCATAGAATTTAATTTATCAGGTTACATAAAACCGCATGCTTTAATGGGAGCTTATTGTTGACACATGAGTTTCTGTATGATCTCAACTCGGTAGTTAACCAATCAGCATTACAGCCTAGATATAGACATACTTTTGATTCCCACTTCAGAACTGAAAGAAAAATGTTCTCACCAATACATTAGTGTTATATTAGATTTACTTGTGAAGCGATGGACTATGTATTTTTATGCCCCACCTACGATAGTAGAGGGGCATTATGTTTTTCGGTCTGTGCGTCCGTTCGTTCGTTCGTCCGTCCGTCCGTCCGTCTGTCCGCGTCAGGTTAAAGTTTTTGGTCAAGGTATTTTTTGATGAAGTTGAAGTCCAATCAACTTGAAATTTAGTACACATGTTCCCTATGATATGATCTTTCAAAATTAGAGTTTTGATCCCAATTTCACGGTCCACTGAACATGGAAAATGATAGTGCGAGTTGGGCATCCGTATACTATGGACACATTCTTGTTTCTAGATGTTTTTTTCAGTTGAGGTTATTCCGAAGACACCATTTAATGATTTCCGAAAAGTAACATAATGTCCAATCATCGGGCTTTTATTCTTATAATAATGTATTAAAAGATGAAGAGCTCCACCTTTTAAATAGAAATTATACAAAAATGAGAAAGGGAAAAGCAATTAAAAATGTAAACTTTCTTTATGTGCCTGTCCCAGGTCAGGAGCCTGTAGTTCAGTGGTTGTCGTTGGTTCATGTCTGTCATATTTGTTTTTCGTAAATTGTTTTGTCATAAATTAGGCCGTTAGTTTTCTCAATTGAATTGTTTCATATTTTTCATGTCAGGGACTTTTATAGCCGACCATACGGTATGGGTTTTTCTCATTGTTGAAGGCCGTACGGTTGCCTAAAATTGCTGACATCCACTTCATTTGAACTTTGGTGGACAGTTGTCTCATTGGCAATCATACCACATCTCCTTATTTTTATATCTAAGCAAATGATGGTTTAGATCGGGATTCTGTGTATTCGCATTATTTGTATATCTCTCCTTACTCTTGAGAAATGTGGAGGTATTTTCCTACCCAGATTGTTCACTACAAACAATATTTTTATATATTATTAATTTGTATATTTTGACTAATTTGAATCGTTCAGGAATAGTCACATATTAAACTATGTTTTCAAATGTTGATTTAAAACGCCGGATAGAAAAGTGATATTGCACGGTTATTTTTGGGATATGTAAAAACCTATATACTTTGTGACGTCTTCTAATGAGATTCATGATATTGTTTGAAGTTTCTAAAAAGTGTATATTTATGATCAATTATTTGAAAAATAATAATCTTCAAATACATCAGATGCACACAAAAAAAAAACATAAAAAAATAATTGAAATAACAACTAATATGTTGTTATTGTCAGAGAGACAATATGATATCTATAAAATTCCAACAAAATTAAATGATCGAAAAAAGAGAATATAATGCACTGACGATGTTGATACAAATATGGTCGGAACTTCATGATATAACAATTGTAGCCTTTATATGAGGTCAATACAGGATAAATCGATCCAAAGAAGTATATCGACCTTTAACTTCGTCCTCAGTCAATATATTTTTTTCAGGTCAATATATCCATGTATCGACCTCATACAAAGACTGTCTCTGTATACTATAGTATAGTGATAATAATAATGATAATAACAACAACATCAGTGGTACACATTGCATTATGTGATAAAGATTCTGTAAATGATTCATTGCATTCAGATTAAGGGTTTAAGAGGGGAAACGGATACAAATGTGATTTTCATTGTAAATGATAAGGTCGATGTATTGCCAAAGCAAACAAAAACACAAATAAATCGGATTATGCATTGAAATAAGAGGTGCAATAGTATTTTGAATTTAGTTATTCCTTTGCTATATCATTCCCGCATTGGACAATTCATGTATCTATTACACCAATGTAATATGCTTTTAGTATATTACTTGTATGGCTAAAAGAAAGACTGCTAAAAATATAAAATCTTCATTTTGTTGTTATAACCCAGTAATCATTAACACTCATGTTTTGTTCAATTCTACAAAATTGTGTCAGGATATAGCGATGCATAATGAAGATCCATGTAGATTTTCTTCAGTGCATAAAAACAGTCCTACCGACAAACCAATTAATCATATCAACAAATATGTCCAGCATTTTGACGATAATAATTTCGATTATTATTTTGGGATCATGTGGTTATTCATAAAGTAAGATGTTTCTTAATCTTTAGCAAGGAATTTGTATAAAAAATTCCAATTATATAGAAAAGGTTTTGTTAGCCACAAAACCAGGTTCAACCCACCATTTTTTCTTAAAATGTCCTGTATCAAGTCAGGAAAATGGCCATTGTTATATTATAGTTCGTTTCTGTATGTGTTGCATTTTAGTGTCGTGTTTCTGTTGTGTCGTTGTTCTCCTCTTATATTTGATGTGTTTCCCTCAGTTTTGGTTTGTAACCCGGATTGTTTTTTTCTCAATCGATTTATGAATTTCGAATAGCGGTATACTACTGTTGCCTTTATTTGTTATATATTTTCTATCTAAAATTTTAGCATGGGTTATAACAACAGTGTAAAGCTAAACGTAGAAAATTCTAGAGTTTTGATATTATTGCAATACTTAAAAATAAATTGATTGAAAATTTTACAGCAGATCTTTAGATTTTGTAAGAATCTAAATCTGATTGACACCGCTACTTTAATAAACCTCACCACTATATAATTCTGTACACCATATACTACTGTTAAAAGATTGGTGGTAAGAACATAAGCAATATTTTCAGTCGAAAATCTTTACGACTCGGCTAGGATTCGTTTTTATCGAGTTTTTGTGATGGTAAGGTATCCAGCGTAAAGGCGAAATATTTTAATAGTTTTTTTCCTGTTAATAACTAGGAAAAGAAGGACAGACATGATTTTCTAAAATCTCTGTTGTAACGAAAGTAGGGGTTTATGAGCGATTTCAAATGTTGTTGTGAATTCCGAGTTATTCAATAAGACATTCAATACCTTTTTTCATATATATAAATGCCTTTAGAGGCTCTGTCGACCGAAAGAACAAAAATTAATCGAGAAGAAATAATTAAGCATCTTCAATCTTGCGGGTTCCTTAAAGAGGTTAGAAACTTTTATGCTTATTGTACTTCGTATATTTTGAATGCGATTCTGAATGCATGTTCGAAGAACTTTGATCCATTCAGATAAAGTGGTATATTTTGGTTCACTTGGCTTGGGCTTTATCAATTTTCATAGTCCTCAGTAACACGATCTTCTTCTTCCAGGTGGTTGGCTGAGGATTTGATTATTGGGACCTTTGTCTAAAGACTCTCAAAGATGTGCATAGCTTGCGATACAAAGGTCTCCAATTACCATCTTTAAGTGAGCTTTTGAATTTACATCCATGAGGATAATTGTCTCTTAAACTCACTATCATCTTCAATAGTTAAGGTGTATGTAAATACATTTCAGATCTAGTTCCATCTTTGCAGTAAAGATGTTAGGTTAATTTCTCCTCATATTTGAGTTAAAACAATTATTGCTAATATTGATATTCAAAAACTTATTTCCGATTATAAAATTTTACAAAGTAAACAAAAAAAAAAATACAAACTAACAAAATCAAACGTTATCAACAAACGGAAAAAGTGAAAAACAGCTGTCATATTCCCGACTTGGTACAGGCATCTAGGAAATCGCCTGGTTAAAACTACGTTGTTCATCTTCTTTAGAAGTAGTTGTCACGGATTTGAATAGTCTGTGATAAACTTTGATTATGGTACGGAAAATAAATCAGTTTGAATAGAGTGAATTCCCAAAGGTTTTTGACCAGTCATAATAAACCATCCATATGCAATTCTATCGCAGCATCCGTACGGAATAGGTGCTTCAAAATCTTGAGTCGCACTCAATATGGGATAATGTATTGAATGATACATTAACCCGAGTATCCTGACTTTAATAGAAACAGTGAAATGATCAGTTTGTCTAAGGTGTTAATGGAGACATTTATTGTTATCAGGATCATTAACACTAGACCTGTGATCAATTAACCATTCAATGTGCGTATAACTCATTTATACATGTAGACCATAAGGAGTAACATAAAACACAGTATCAAAAAGTTGCAGTCCAGAAACAAAAAGTACCTGCTTGAACGGCGGCATGGTCAAAATGCGTTCGCTTCTACAGGAAGATAGTTTAGGCAGCCACAACTATTGATTAAAAGTGCGTCTAAAAAAACACAAAAAATTCGGAAATCACACTTGCATCTGGTGGGATACACAAAATCTGTTAAAATTGCCAGCACAAACACCGGTACCCATCATTTAAAAAAAATAGTAATAAAGATAAAAAAAAAAGTAAAGAAAGTAAGATGCAGGTTATCCCGAAAGTATCTATGAATTGGATACTAAAAGTTAAGCATTATACTAAACTCTCCCCTTCGAACAATTATATTGCAAATGAGTAAAATCTACTCGAATCCACGTCATTTAGACTCTGTTGGATAGTGGGCAATCATACCACATCTCCTTTTTTCATAAAGCTGATTTTTTTCCTGATGCTGTACGCGATAATGCATATTAAAAGAGGTTATACGAGGAGCATTTGAATAGAAAAATATAATATTATGCATTCCCATGGTGTTATTCATAAAAATTTAAATTTTAGATATTTGTGATTTTTGTCATACATATTTCATATTGGATAGATATATTTACAGATATTAAAACATTAACTGAAAGCAGCAGAAAGACAGATTATTAAGCCAGTGTGAAGAAATATGTCGAAGGTAAAATGTTACAAACTATTAGATTTTTCAAAAGCGATCACAATTTGTATTTTCTAAAATTGTTTTACCCAAAAAATGACTTTGATCACATCGACATCCTTTCTGTCTGGCAAGGTGACTCGAGCTGATTGAATGTGAGTACAGTTGCTCAGCATGTACAAAAACAGCCGTGTCCTATGGAAATGAGGACCTAACCTCTGACGCCTCGTATTGAGAAATTTCACGGTCTATGAACGTTAAAGAACCCTTGTAACTACTATTGGAGGGGTTCACATATGACTTGCAGATATATGCTTAATAAGGATTCATTTCTGCTGTTATTTCGTTTTTGTAAGTAACTGTTTAGTTTCACCTCTTTTTAAATAGTCCGTTTCTATGTATGTTGGCGTTTGTTTTTGTTGCAGTTCAGTGTTTCTATTGTTCCGTTGTTTTCCTCTTATGGTTGATGTGTTTCCCTCGGTTTTAGTTTGTAACCCGGATTCGTTTTCTCTTAATCGATTTATGACTATTGAACAGTGGTATACTACTGTTGCCTTTATTTAATAAGTCTATTTCGGATATTGTGAATATAAGGCTTTTATTTTGGCTAAATATTCATACTCGTATTAAGTTTGAATTCAATTTCGGTACCTTGTAATTTTGTATTTTATAGATACTGAATGATTCAATACATGGCACAATCACGCTAGACCCGTTACTTGTTAAAATAATTGATACACCACAGTTCCAACGACTGAGAAATATTAAACAACTTGGAGGGTGTTATTTTGTTTATCCATCCGCATCGCATAACCGTTTTGAGCACAGTATTGGGTAAGTAAAATAATGTTTATAAATGTTTTTTGAATCTGAAATACACAGACGGTTAAGGCTTGTATCTTTACTTTGTAATAAAAGATTGGTACTTCAAATAGTCTATAAAACAGACTTTGAATGTGCATTTTCTTAAACATCAAATAATAATACGTCAGAACTTAAAAGAAAATGAAACAAAGTATAACTTTCGAGGAACATTAACAGGCGAAAGATACCAAAGGATTATTCAAACTCATTAGTCGAATTAAACTAAACTGACAATGTAATGGCAAACAGACAAACAAATTACCAAACGACAAACAGCAGTACATAAGACCCATCATAAAACACTAAAGACTGAGCAACACGAACCACCACCAAAACGGGGGAGATATCAGGTGCTCCAGAAGGGTAAACAGGTTTTATTATATAATAATAGCAAATCAATTCATGAGGTTTGTTTACTTGACAATGTGACTGTGTGTAGGCTTAACACAGTTTACAAAACCCAAGAGATAAACAATTAACCACTAGTCGAAAAAACATCACTATGGTAAACAAAATAAAAAACAATGAAATATAAACCAACTGTCAAAATAGACTACATAAAAAATACATCGAGCAACACTAACCTATCCAAAAAAACCGGGTGTAAACGTAGTTGCTCTCGATAATTTTTTGCAAGCCCAGAACTTTAAATACCAAAAGATTGTCGCCTGTTAAGTTAATTCATCGATAGTGTTCCATTCCCGACTGTGACATTTTTACTAAGTGTGGACAGCATTTTGTTTAATGCATGCATAGTAACATATGCTTACCCATAGGATGCACCCAATCTCGATCCTTTTAATAAATAAATGATCCGCTTCAGCTCACTGTTACCACTTCGATGGTATCGTGGTAGCGTGATCGCATCCGGCGCGGGAAGTCGTGAGTTCTAACCCCAGTCGGGTCAAACCACGGCTTAAAAATTAGTATTTGCTGCTTTTATGCTGAGCATGCGACATTAGGGAGTGGGATCAAAGACTGGTCGGCTCGTAGTCAGATTAATGTGTCCGGGTAGGGTGACATATCTTCTTGTGGACTGTTACCTTGTGAACTAGCACGTTATCCATCTATCCATATAGTAACTCATGGTCACTAGATATAACATAAATAGTGACCGATGACCTTTTTGAGGTATCTTTATACTAGAACTTTTGATAAACAAAAGGACTTTTCTTTCCCTGTTGTTATTTTTCCTTTCCTTAATGACGATGTTCCCGTTGACTCCTTCTTTGGGAGCGTACATTTCTGTATATTCTATTTGCACGTGTTTGGAGTGACGTTTTGGATTTGAATTATAATGTTATATTTCCATTGCTCAAGATATCATAAATTAGTCAAAACATTAACAATATTTTATCCCTATATAGAGATTTGTTGTGAAAGTATGTCTCCATCTGTAGGAATGTAATAAACAGTTTTATTTCGCATAAACGGTAGTATAATTTGTTAATCTTTCCAGATTATGCGTTGTCCTATTTTTGGCTTAATAAAGTAATTGATAATTACTGTTCAAGCCCTGCGTCTGTTATTTTTTTGGGGATAAACATCACTAATTCACCAAAATATTTCAGATGTTTTTTTTCTGTACTGAAATTTTGTACAGTTGTTCTGGGCATTGACAATACTGTCATCATGTTCTGGTAATGATATTTCTGCATGAAATCTTCAATCACGAACTACAATAACTGATATTGAGGTTTAGGATGTCAAGTACTTTTGAGTTTGCTTTCAGTAGCTGCGAGCATTCTTTGACATGATGTATAATCTTTTTTATTATTGTTTTCTTTGTGAATGTATATTATTGTTACCTACTTAGGATTCATTTAGTTTCTTGGATTGAGGAAACATTGTATTTTCGAGGATATTTGATTTCTTTGTTTTGCAAAAATCTGCATACAGGCCTGTAAAAATTTGAACGTCCAAGTTTCGTATTTGTTCTTAAGCCAACAGATGCTCCTCTTGGGTATGAGTTTATTGTCGCATGCATGCGAGGAGTTCAGTGGTAACTATATCTATACATAATGGGGAATAGGACATAATCGGTAAAATCACAGATCAGACGTTAACGTTATATGACCGTAATTTTCCATTGGTGATATACTATTATGTTCCATGTAGCTGATGCAGATTTAAAGCACAATAAAGGAAAAGACTTCATTGACTAGAATCACGTCAGACTTGGGAAGAATATGGATTTAAATTTTATCCGGGTTGAATTATGATCGTGACTGAAAGAACATATATTTAGATCATTATATTAATAAGTTTTAATTATCGTGTTGAATCATAATATCCTTATACTCTAATGATTTATTAGAACCGAAACAGTTGAAGAGCTATATGACAAAAAAGGACCTAAATATAATAGCAAAATCCATCTAAAGTCAACTTTGCCTGACGGAGCTGAAACCTTATGAATTTCAATTTGTTCAGAAATGTACACAGATTATCCATCTAAAGTATGTGAAGTGTTTTGTGGACATTTTGCTCTTTTCGTCTTTTTTCGTTTTTTACCATGATGGCATTTGCGAATCCTTTAACGTAATTTGATAAAACAAGCACACATACTCTCTTCGATTAAGGCCGTGTTCACATTGAGCTAAACTCGGTGTGGTGTAAGTGTACTCTTAAACTAAACTCAATTACGTTCCCATTGATAAAAATCAATGTTAACATGTAGTTTGAAACAGGTTTTGACTACATACAGTCGATCGTCAATGTAGGCCTTGTGCGGGTTAAGTGTTCATAAAACAAGATATCAAGAGCGTTGATTTTATTGTGAATAGTTAAGGAAGTTACATATATTGAATAAATATTATTATTATAATTCTATGAATTAAGTTCTTTTCCTACTTTTATGACAAAAACTTAAAGATTGCTCCGTTAAAAACATGATTAAATTTAATAGCCTTAGCCTTAGTGGGCCATTTGTTTTTCAGTGGGATGAGTTTTTTTTTTCTGATAGAATATCCATTTTACACAGGTTTATTTTATTTAGCGCGAAAATTATTTTCACTTTTTTTCAACTTTTTCTTGCAAAGTCCTGCATTTTGTAGGACAAACTATTCATTTTAATTATGTCGTGGACAAGGTTATTTTTACAGTTAGTACCAGTCCATACTATTCATTTCCATAATCACCATATGTGTGACTGGGGAATAGTAATATGGTAATCAGATCTTCTTCCGATCGGCCGTAAAACCCTTCCAAAGTAGAGCGTCCGGTTGGCTCCCTCTCGGACGGCCTCTATCAAAGGACCTACCAATTGTATTTATTGTGAATTTGTTCTCATCCTGAACATGTATGAACTATTTGCCACTGGACTTTTATCAACCAACAATTAATCAATCAATCAATCATTTTCAAATTCCTTTTCTCGCCTATTGTTACGCTGTTTAAGCAACCTAATCGTTACATCATTAGAACTCTCAAAGTTCTCCAAATCAATAGAACGGTTTTCTTAAGGTACCGTCCATTCATCATCTTGGTACAAACCATTCTTTTTATTACTTTAATAAAAAAAAACAAACATTGTGTGTTCAATAACGTACAGGAACCTTTTTTAAAACTCCATGTTGAATCCCACGCACTTCATTTTCAAGAATTCAAACAATTTTTCTCACTTCCCTCCTGGAACAAATACATTCTTTTCTTTAAAGAAAATTAATTTAAACAATTTATCTCCTCCTTCCCCCCAAAATTTTTTTTAGAAAAATAAAAAATGAATATGAATTGGTCTACGCCTAACTGATACAAAAGTTAACAGAGAAATGTTTAATTCAATTCTTTTTAATGTACATGTAAATTACGTGTACATGTTGTTTACTGATGTGAACAATTTTCATGTACAGGTAATTAAAACCGATGAACAGATTTTATGTGAAACCAGTGTTCACTACATGAAACTAATTGTAAAAAGGTTTACAGTACACAGCGTTTGGTGTGAACACGGCCTAAAATTATCACAGTTGTGCGTTTCTCTGTTATGAATGTTCTTGCGTGTGTCTGTGCTGTATTTCTGTCACGTAGTGTTTTAGCGATATTTTTTAACATTGTCATAAAACGGGAGGTTTGGCATGCCATGAAACCAGGTTCAACCCACCATTTTTTCTTGAAATGTCCTGTACTATGTCCAGAAAATGGCAGTTGTTATCAAATAGTTCGTTTCTATGTGTGTTGGCGTTTGTTTTTGTTGCACTTCGGTGTTCCTGTTGTTCCTTTGTTTTCTCTAATAGTTGATGTGTATCCCTCAGTTTTGGTTTGTAACCCGGATTTATTTTCTCTCAATCGATTTATGACTTTTGAACACCGGTATACTACTGTTGCCTTTATTTATATTTCCGTGACGAAAATCTGCAGATATAACGCTGAAACTAAGGTCTTTATGATATTGTTAATTATTGTTAGTACTTAGAATCAGGTATAAGTACAAATTAGAATAGAACTTCTAACCAAATCTGGTGTTCATGTCTAAAAGGACAGTGCTTACTTTTAGGTGGAACTCTTTGATATTTTTGAAAGTAAAACATCAAGCTGGTTATTTATCAAAGATAACTTATAAAATATATACACATTTATATATTCAGAACATGTTTCTTAGCCAGTAAATTAGCACACCAGTTGCAGCAACGGCTTGACCAAGACATAGAGAACTTAAAGAAATCAAATGATACTGCAAAGGAAACGTATGCTATGAAATTGGAAAATGCGAAAATGACAAAGAATGACTTACTGTGTATAGAGATAGCAGGCTTATGCCATGATATAGGTATGCAAAAAGATTAAGGCTGGTACCTATGAAATCAAAACTATGGCTGGTACCTATGAAATTAAAACTATAAGTCGAAAGACCAACAACGCAATGCTTAAAAAAACTAAGAGACAAGCAACAGTCCACTAAAATACAGGTAGAATAAAGACTGAGTAACGAATCAACACATTGGAGTGAACTTAGCAGATACTTAGTAATATACACCATACAGTTTGGTGACTATGTTAAAACATTTACTGTATTTAATTGGAAATAATTGATACCATGGATACAGTTAAACTTACCTCAAATCTTGACTTACATCTAGATTTTTACAGCAAATGTCGGTTAAGAACCAAACTTTACGACACAAAAAATAATTAAAGTTTCCAAATGTGAACTCTCCGTTTCTTTAAAGCAATATTTCAGCAAAGATTGCATATGGAGTGTATATCTCCAAACACAAACAATATTCCAGGGGGGGGTTGCTGCTTTCAATTAAGCTTTTGAACCACAAGTGACGAATTGAAAGTCATCACTTAGAAGAAAACAAATTCTGATACCATCATGATTTGGTTTATCGTTATGTTATATCTGTGTCACATATAACAGCGGATATATTCAAATTCTAGCAGCTAAAATCCTGTCCTATTTTCCCTGATTGTGATATCACAGATATCTAGGTTTCGATAAAAAAATAATGTTATTGTTTTGTTTTTTTTGCATTCTTCGAGAGTGTCGAAATATTTTCTTTCTTTTTAAAATCATTTACCGATATTGAAATAAGTATTGATGGTACCAGAAGATGGGTTATAGTTCATAAAATTGAGTAGATTGGGTGTAAACAATGAAGGTCTTCTGAAGCTGGAATGTTTGGTTGGGTTTTAACTCATTATGGTATTGCTATTGTGTCCTATTCCCTATCGTAACATTTTTGTTTGACACTTGAATTGTATGGCGGGTAATGTATACATCGGAGAAGACCCTCACCTTATCTCGCTCCGTTCTCATTTTATGCAAATCCGTTGTTTTCTTTTCGTTTAAATATTCAAAATGGATATACGAGACTTTCCCATCAATATACTGTAACGTTGCACCTCATTGGCTTCACAACTCTACTTTCAATATTGTGGTTCATACATTTTCTTGTCTAGAATGGGATGTGTTTCTTATAAGAAATTTTGATGTAGTCTATGGCATCACCACCTGATTTGTGGTAAATGAATATCGAACTGCTTAAATATGACCTAATTAGGTATAAAACAGAAAAATCGAAGTAGTACAAGCAACTGGAATCAAATGACTCCAAAAATAATTAGACCAGGTTATAATGCTTGCATTATTCGTCATTTGATTCCAAATTCAATTGAAATAACAATACAGACACCATAGACGTGTAAATAGCAGTAGTAATAAACATAACAATAGAGACAAAAGATACAAAAGGGACATTAAAACTCATAAGTCGAAAATAAACTGACAAGGCCGTGGCAAAAAAAAGAAAAGGACCAAAAGAAAAACGACAGCGTACAAAACACAGCATAGAAAACTAGAGTGTACAAACAAACACCACAAAAACATGGGGTGATGTCAGATGCTCCGGAAGGGTCACAGATCAAATCAAATAATACATAAAAGCTACTGACGTGTTTTAAACAAACAATCGACATGCACATGGGAACCAACTGTTTCTCCTCTTCTTGCCGACTTGTTCCTTTATTCATTAGAAGCTGACTTCATACAGGAGCATCTTAGGAAGAATAAAAAGAAGCTAGCATTATCCCTTAACTTCACGTTCTGCTATATAGATGATGTTCTCTCACTAAATAATTCAAAGTTTGGTGACTATTTTGAACGCATCTATCGCATCGAAATTGAAATAAAGGATACAACAGATGCAGTTAAGTCTGCCTCATATCTTAACTTGCATCTAAAAATTGACAATGAGGGTCGATTGAGAACAAAGCTTTATGACAAAAGAGATGATTTGAGTTTCCCAATTGTGAATTTCCACGTCTATTTAGCAACATTCCAGCAGCACCATCATATGGAGTATTTATCTGCCAGTTGATACGATATTCCAGAACTTTCTTTTCCGGTCATGATTTCCGTGATAGAGGGTTGCTGCTTACAATGAAACTAATCAAACCAAGAGTTTGAAGTTGAAATAATCCCTTTGAAAATTTTACAGACGCCATCACGAGTTGGTTGGTCGTTATGGAATATGTGTTTTGCAGATGACGACGAATATGTTCAATTGTTGTTACCACAATCCCATCCTCTTTTCCTCGAAAGTGATCTACCGAATTAGACTTATCACCGGGTTTGTTCTTCGACTTATGAGTTTGAATATCCCTTTGGTATGTGTTGCCTCTCTTTTAACAGCTGTTGATATATTAAACGTAGATTTGATTGGGAAATGCGTCCCTCTTTCTCCATTAAAACGTATTGTTAAAATAATATTTTTGCCTTTTTTAAGGACACGGACCATATTCCCATTTGTTTGATCGATTGTTTAATAAGGAAATGAAAAGGAAGTACAAGGACACGATGGAATGGACGGTTTGTATTAATAATTGGTGGATATTTTATCACATTATCTTTCTAAACTTTATGGCATCGGCCTATTTTCGTGTACTATTTTCAGTGTAGAAATCAATCACGTGCTAAGAATATCAACAATGGCATAAATACAGACGTTTACATTAGATTGACAAACTGTTTTGTGATCTAGTTTAAATATATAAATATATATATATATACTTAAAATCAAATTATGTGTCCACAGAAGTAGAGATATAAGAAAATTGAAAGTTCAAAATGCTCTTAATGACTGTTTTAAATTGTGGACATTCAGTTTAGAGAAATTAAATGAATTTAGAAATTTAATCAATAATATCAACAAAAGTATCCAGTTCACTATGGAATATAGCGATAAACAATTACCGTTTCTAGATATTTTTATAATAAAATGAAAGATATTAAAATTGAAACGGATATGTACTTTAAACCCACAGACTCAAATAATACTTACTTTTCCATTCGTGTCATCCAAACCACACAAGAATAAACATACCGTTCAACTTGGCGAGAAGAATTTGTACTCTTGTCTCTAGTATTCAATTGAAAAATAAAAGACTTCAAGAATTAAACGAAATGCTATTAGAAAGACAATATCCAAAAACTTAAATTGATAATGGAATAGAACGTGCAAATGTAATAGATATCCAACACCTAGGAATACCGAAAAACACCGAAAATAATACGGAACAAGTATTAACATACATAAAAAGTAAAAGACAGTCGAAATCTTTAAAGAAGTTACTCACAAGTGCAAAATTAAACAAATATGAAATATCACTATCTGTCAAAAATGCGGACGTTCAAACTGTGGTATTTGTAAAAAAATGATTTGGAAGGAGTATCATATGAATTTAAATCGGGAGAGATTTAACTATTAAGAATTCTTTTACATGCGCATCAGGAAATGTAATTTATGCAATTAAATGTAATGGGTGCCAAAAATATTATATTGGCCAAACAGGAAACAGGAAACACAGTACGCCAAAGAGTTACGGTTCAACCTCAACACATCCGACTTCCAGAAACTAGGATGATTAACGTTATTGAACACCTGGACTCATGCGCAGCCAATAAAATACCAAAATACTATGTATTTCATTTTACCAATGTGACGACCAATTTACTGAAGAAATGCAATACAAATAAAGAAAACATGTTCATTAAAAAGTATAAACCAAGCACAAATAGATAAGAAGCAACTTATGTAAGGGTTATGATCCTTTTGTGCATTGTTACGTAATCATGATCGTGACGTTACGTTACTTTTGACTTCATTAGTTACATTAGCATCAATGATTATCACATTAAGGTGGTACCAAACACCTTGACTAAAATTAATTTGGCTCGTTTAATTTTCATAAAATTTTGACAATATATTTACTTTGACTCGTTGACAAAATATATAAAAATTTCAAAAAACCACACACTTTATCGGAAAAATTTCATTGGATATATAGCAGTTTGACAAACACTAACTTTGACCATTGAGAAGCTTAATATTTCCTTAACAATAGAACGTGATTAAAACGTTCAACTGATTTTTACAGAGTTATCTCCCTGTAGTGTTATGTACCACTTTAATGTGAAACCGGTTGAAAAAAATGTAGTGAATTAAAGGACTTTAAGAGCATTTTGAACTTTAGTTTTAAATATATATATATAAACAAGTCTAAATTGAAAACAACTTTCAAACCTATGATTGCGTTGGATAAAAATCGCAATTTTTATACGTGTGCATGCAAAACAAATTTCTTGGTAGAGGGGTCTAAATACAGCAAAAACTACATTTTCCAAAGACCAAAAAAGTGAAAAAGTATATTTCAACAAAACGCATTTGACTAGCAGGTCAAACAACGGATGTTCTTAAACACTGCTGACTGCCTTGGCGATTGCCAAATAAACGGATCACCATATGTAACAAAATGGATCTTAATTATTAATTTAATATTAAACAGAAAAAAATTAATTTGCGGAAAAGATTGTATACCGCACATATGAGGTGCTTAAATTGGTACACCATATCCGGATTTCGACAATAAATGTCTCTTCAGTGATGTTAGGAATCGAAACGGTATTTGGAAGGCCATATAATTTACCTCAATTTAGGATTGACTCTTGAATTTTGAAGAGTCGAAATAGGATGAACAGATTATATAAACCCGAAGGCAAATATAATACAAGCCCAAACGAAAAAATATAAACAAGACTAAATTGAAAACAACGTTCAAACCTATGATTGCGTTGGATAAAAACCGCAATTTTTATACGTGTGCATGCAAAAAAACAAATTTCTTGGTAGAGGGGTCTAAATACAGTACAAACAACATTTTCCAAAAGATCATAAAGTTAAAAGGTATATTTTAACAAAACGCATTTGACTAGCAGGTTAAACAACAGATGTTCTTAAACACTGCTGACTGCCATGGCGATTGCCAAATACACGGATCACCAGATGTAATATATATATATATATAAAGTGCCTAGAAAATCAACCTAACGATGTTAGAGTTAATCTGATTTTTTTCTTCCTCCCCGACCTGGGCTGGAACCTGTACTTTTCACTTCATACTTCTACGACAACACCGCCTAGCATTGCGCAGACGCCTTATCCCCTCCTCTTACTATAGCTGATAAATGATAGCTGATATATATATATATATATATATAGATTGCCTAACAATGTAATTTTTATCATGGTTCCGATTCATTGACGATATTGATTTCAAATGGACAGATTCACAAGAACATCTTAATGAATTTCTAGGACACTGTAACTCTTTCCACCATTCAATAAAATTTACATATGAATCATCTATGGAGAAAATAAACTTCCTCGACACTACGAGTTACATCAAGAACGGAACCATTATAACGGACCTTCATACCAAACAAACGGACAAACATCAATTCCTTTCTCCTAAAAGTTGCCATCCTAAACACTGCTCCCGTGGCATCCCATTCAGCCAGGCATTGCGAATCAAGAGAATATGCTCTACTGAAAATACGCAAAATGCTAGACTTGGACAACTACGTAAACATCTAGTTGTTCGAGGATACAATAACAACATCATTGATAGCGCTTTCGAAAGAGCAAACAAAACTAGTCGCCAAGAACTTCTAGAGTACAAAGATAAGAATAAAGCAGCTAACAGAACACCCCTTGTACTCACTTACCATCCTGATTTTAAAAATGTGTCTTCCATTGTTCAGAAGCATTGGCAAATTGTAGAAAATGATTCCAATCTTAAAAACGTATTTTCCTCACCACCAGTCATGGCCTTCAGAAGACCTAAAAACATTCTTGACAAATTAGTGACATCTGTATTAGCAAAGCAGCCTACTCCATCTCCCGGTTGCTACAAACAATGTGGTCGAAGGAACTGCTTGTGTTGTAAAGCTGCCAATACAAGCAGTTCTTTCATCAGCTCCGTTACTAAACAAAATTATACCATCTACTCAAATTCCAACTGTAAAACGGAGAACTCAATTTATATATTAACATGTGACACATGTGGCATTCAGTATGTGGGAGAAACAATGGACAAATTTAATATTCGGCTCAATAACCATCGTTCATGGTACAAAACCAACAAAAACTGTCCTCTCACAAGACATCTTCGTTCAACGAAACATTCTTTTGATAATGTTACCTTCCAAATCATAGAAGTCAACACCGAGTGGGACACCACGGCGAGAAGGAGAAGAGAAAATTTTTGGAATTACCAACTCCACACTTTAGAACCTGATGGTCTTAACGAAAAAGATGAGAAAAGATACAGGAAAGATAAAGAATAATTTAGTACACAGCATCGTCCTTTTTATCCTGTAATATTGGCCAATGGACGTTGCTAACTTCAACTACCAATTTTGTAAAAATCTTGAACTTCATCCACATTATGTATTATTTTCAAGGCAGCTAAATTCAAGTGCAACATATACATTGAGCTGCAAAAGTTTCTTATCATCTACATCCGATTTCACCTGGATAGATGCACGCTTGATAAAGCTAGTTAGTCTAGCGAAATATTGCGTTTATTTTCATCATTTTGTAAATAATTTAAACATTCTTATATTTACATACTAAATAGTGTGTTAAAATTACATTGTTAGGCAATCTATAATTTTATTTGTGTAATTGAATTAATCTCTGTACTGATTAATCCACACTCCCATAGATTTGTATGTCATGTGCTGCTATTTATAGGCACTTATATATATATATATATATATATATATATATGTAAACGCCTAAAAAGTGTACAAAACAACACCAATATTAAAAAAAGGAAACATTAAATGTAAGTATCTATAAATATTTCGGATAACAGATATCCTTCATCAGTATGATTATGATGTAACATGAATCATATCAATCTATTCTGACTATAAACAATCTTTAAATTTATACAATTTAAACAGAACAACGCGCTTGTAATAGCTAAAAAAAATTAAATGACGTAGGTTAGGTATTTACAACAGAGGTTGTATAGATATGCTTCTAACAAAAATAGTAATGTGCGATATGAACTGGTACATTTCTAAAATTTCACAGGCGACAAAGGTTAAGTTATTACAACAAAGCGACTGCGTAGAAATACATTCCTAATGAATAGCACTGACCCTTTTGAGCTGGTATAGTACTAAAATTTCAAATTTGACGAAGATTAAGTAATTACAACAAAGGCTGAGTATTTACACATCCCAAATTAAAAGCAGTTTGATAATTAAAAAAAAATTTTTTGACAAGGTTAAATAATTACACCGTGTCTGCGTATTTTTTACATCCTAAATGAATAGCACCCTACGATTTAAACTGGTATAATTCAATAATTTTAGAGTTGACAAAGGTAAAGCAATAGCAACAGAGACTGCGTAGTAATATGTAATATAGCCCAAATGAAAAGCATTGCGCAAAATAGAACTACATCTTTTCATTGATCGCAATTGGTGCCAAAGTTTTTAATTTTCTTATCAAAAATCTTTCCCGAGTGAGTCTATCCTCTCTAGACCAAGCAGTGGTCAATGATTGTAATGGTCAGTCGATTGAGATCTGCCTTGGTGTGGTCAGGGGATCTCAAATGTCGACTGAGAGGAAGGTCTGGCTTGCATTCATAGTCGCTACGATGGCCGTTCACACGTTTGTGAAATGGTTGTTTTGACTCGCCAACATACTGTTTACCACATTTACACTGTAGAAGATACACAGCATCTGTAGTCTTGCAATTAACATTGCAAAATATGGTGTATTCCGTACCAGGGGAGTGACTGTCAAAAGTCTGGGTATTCAGTATTTGCTTGCAAGTCAGACATCGTTTGTTTCCACATCCCTTACAAGAGCCTACAGACTAAGAACCTGATCAACGTAAGCGACCCAAGGGATACCAAAGTTTTTTTGAGCTTTTACAAAAATCAGGAATTTATAAATAGTATAAATTATCAATTGATTATCTACAGACGTAAAAGTACTAGTGTTGAGTACCAACACTTACTGTAAGACAATAGTTCCATTGTTGTTCGTTTTGAAGTGTAAAATCTATTAACAATGCAAAATAAAAACATTGACGATGGCGCGACAGTCGGCCATATTGAAAACAAACCAGAATCATATTCTTCTGCTTTAAAAGCCAGCTTTTCTCCAATTCCTTTATTTGATGATACTGACAGTAAAATCGACCCCCTTGAGGTTATTAGCCAAGTGAAACCAGTATTTATACAAGAAAAAATCTATTTGGTGATGCAAAACTAAACAGAGACCAGTACCTCACACATATTGAGTTGTATAAAAAAACATATACCAAAACATACAGAAAGGTCATCTTAAGGGTCTACAAAGAGAAAGGGGAATGTGCAGAATATATACAGACGCTGATGAGGACAGGGATATACTCATAACCAGAGGTCTGATAATACGCAAAAAAATGATAAAGGTTTATGCACAGAACCCACATACAGCAGGAAATGAAAACTAAAATTTCATTAGAATAAGGGTTAAGGATGTGCCATGTTCCGCAGAAGATGGACAAATTGTTCGAGCTATAGAAAATGGAGGCTGAATAGTCCACAAAATTTATCGTGAACGATTGCGGGTTGATGGACTTTTGTCAAATTGTCAAACAGGTGACCGTATACTTATGGTTGACCAATTAGCTAAACTTCTCTCACGAAAGGTTAGGATCGAAAAGTACACAGCTATTGTGCTCCACAAAGAACAAAACGTCGATGCAACAAGTAATATCACTTGTAACAAATGTCTCCAACAAGGACACAGAATAAGGGAATGTACAAATGAATGGGTTTGCAATCTTTGTAAAAAGCCTGGGCACAAAAGAATTGATTGTGACGAGTTTGAAGTGATCAGTCAACAGGGAAAAAATTCTCATTCCGGTGAAAGAGACGAGTCTGATACTGATGAGGCTGATACTGATGATGAAAAAGAGCAAACCACTGTGAAACAAACTGATTCCTAGTCTACGCTGCAAGCTCTGTCTTCAAAACTGCCTACTTTCTCATTTCAATTCAATGCAGCCAAACCATCAGACCAGGCCGAGAGAAGAAATGAGCAACATGCAAATGTATTCCGTGAAACCAGTGAGCAAAGCGAGAACAATCCTAAAACTAAAAAGGCTAAAAAAAAACGGCCAAAAAAGCTCATGATCGATTGCAACACAAAGACAAAATTACAGAAAAATTCCAAAATACCCCAGACTTCAGAGCAGAGAAGAGAAATGCGACAACGCCAACAAATGAATATGATAAACGTAACAGCCAACAACAAAAGTCAAAAGTAAGCTAAGCTGAAACTATGGTAAAGAAATCATAAATATAAAACTTGTACATTGTAAATAATATATTAACCAATCTTAATATGTACGTAACTTTGTTTGTTTCCTTTTATTATATACATATAAATACCAAAAAAAATTAGTATGATGTAATAATAGATTGCATATATTCAAGAGAATTAAAAAATTGTGAGGATAGAATCAAAGGTCTAATGATTGTAAATATATTTTTATTTTATATGCAAGATAAAATGAAAAGTAATATAGATGAATTGATGAAATTGTTTAACCATATAAATTATCTGGGAAGAAAAAAAACTTTTAATTATTAACTGTTCCATGGAAAAAGATAAACTACACAAAGTATTCTGCACATACAATCATAATCCAGAGAAGATCTTCACATCTTTATTGATAGCAATAATAGTTCTATTTTTAGACGTCGTAAATTCCATACATCTATTTAAATTCTTACACACTCCTAAGAAGATTCGATTTATAGGTCGTTGTTATGTAAGAACACTTAAGTCCACTAAAACTTCATCTCTATCCAGTCCAATGTTAATTGTAAGGAAAATGATACTGCTAGTCATTAACATCCAGAGTGAATGTAAAGTCTACACACATAATCTGAATCTATTATTATACACTGACTACTGATGTTTATGGGTTATTGAGCATGCGTCTAAACAACAGATCAATTATGATCTACAAAATGACCTAAAAACATTGTTATTAAATGTAATATATTTGTTGTTAGTGTTTTTAAAGAATGTCACAAAATGTACAAACTTGTGTGAATACTCGTACATGATTAAAAATTATGTACAACAATGCTGTCATAAATATTTACATGATTATCATGAATACCTGTATATAACAATTTAAAAATATGACAAGTAAAATACACTTGTGTTCTTTGAATTGTCAAGGGTTAAGGGCTAAAGAGAAGAGGGAATGTTTAATTTTCTGGATGAATCACCAAAAATGTAACATCTTGTACATACAAGAAACACACTTCACTAAGAATATAGAAAATACCCTAATGTGTGAATTTGAGGGATCTCTTTATAATAGTTTCGGTACATCAAAAGCAAAAGGAGCCTCAATTTTTATAAGAAAAGATCTGAATCATAAAGTAATTGATCAATATTCAGATAAGGAAGGAAGGCTCATACTTTTAAATATAGAAATAAATGAAAATATATATACACTGATAAATATTTATGCCCAAAATGCCCAACACGAAAGAAATGCTTTTTTAAAAAAAGTAAAAGAAACTGTTGCAAATAATAGTTTAGGAATGATAATGATAATAGGAGGAGATATGAATGGCATTTTATCAAATAAAGACAATAAAAACTTTAAACCTGGACAAAAAAAAATAGAAAACCAGTAAACAATTAAAAAATGATGATAAAAACTCTAAAACTCATTGACATTTGGAGAGAATTAAACATTGCAACCAAACAATTTACATGGAAAAGAAAAAAAACAGTGACAAAGAAGCCACTCGCATAGACTACTTTCTGATCAGTCCAGAACTAAGAACACTGGTGTTCTCAGCTGATATTAGACCAGCAATGATAACACATACTGATCACCAAGCAATATCAATATAATTTCATATGGTTGAACGTAGTGAATTAGAGTGAAATTATTTTCTCTTGTCGTTTCATGATGTATATAGGTGTCGTACCTATCGTGTGGTCAGTTTCCCGCCGAAACTGGATTTCGGTCATTCAGCACGACAGCGCCAAAGCGAGCGGTTCTCATTTAATCACTTGGTAAATTTTAATTTATTCAATAAGTCCCCCCTTTTTTATTATTTATAAGATAAGATTGATAGGACTGGAGGGTTGTTTTTTCTTTTTGGTATTATGTTTTGTGAAGTATATAGTTGTGTATAATATATACATATGTGTTTTTGAATGTTCATGTGTAACATATTTAATAAACATAGCAGCGACGTTGTCGTGTAGCTTTGCACTTTAATTATGAGTTTTTGTATTCTTCATACTTTCACATTATGCTTTTCCTTTTAAATGGTTTTTCAAAGGCATACATTATCATGGGGTGGCGTACATGAGACTAGTATTATGTAGTGAAGTTTTAATACAGAATGAAGGTTGTTACAAGAGAACTAAAAATTAAAGAACGTCCACAAATTAAAGGTTAAGGGTTCTTTAAGCTAAACAATAGCATTCTTCAAGATAATAATTATAAAATGATGATAAACAAATTAATCAATACATATAAAAGTAAAATACATACCAAGGATCCATCAGTACTATGGGACTTATTTAAAACTGAGACACGAGAACATGCCATAGGTTTCTATAAAAGAAAAGCAAAGAAAAATAAAGATATAATAATAAATTTAGAAACAAAATTAGGCAAACTTAATAATCTTATTAATAATGAGACTATAGATAACAACTATATGAGTATATTAAAAAATGAAATTGACAATGTAGAAAAGAATATAGAAATACTTTATATCAATAAAAAAAAGGGTGCCCAAGTAAGATCTAGAATAAAATGGATAGAGGACGGGGAGAAAAACACTAAATTCTTCTTATGTTTAGAAAAATCAAGACAATAAAAAAAGACTACAGCATTGAAAGATAAAACCGGCTTAGTTTATACTGATACAGATTCAATTTTACAAATTGCAGTATATACATTTAATAAATGTTATGAAAAAGGGGAACTAACTGAAACACATAAACTGGGGATTATATCCCTTATTCACAAAAAAAAATGATCCGTTACTCTTAAAAAACTACAGACCTATAACACTGCTAAATGTTGACACAAAACTGATTGCATATACCCTTGCACAAAGAATTAAAAATATTCTACCGAAAATCATTAGTGCCGACCAAAATAGTTATATTGCAAATCGCTATATTGGGTATAATGTAAGACAAATTCAGGATATCATAGACTATGCTGAATCATTCAAAATAGAAGGAGCCTTGTTATTTTTAGACTTCTCCAAAGCGTTTGATACACTTAAATAGGAATTTATGCACTCGGCATTACAAAAATTTGGCTTTCAAAAATCAATTTTGAAATGGATTAAAACTATCTTCAATGATGTTAAATGCTCTGTTACAAATAATGGTTGGATATCAGAACCCATATCTATTTTTAGAGGAATCCGAAAAGGATGTCCTTGCAGCGCTCTAATTTTTGTAATAGCTGTAGAAATATTGGCCTGTAAAATCAGACAAGATTCTAACATTAAAGGGTTTGAAATAAGAATTGACGGAAAATCACATAGTCTCAAAATATCATAATTAGCAGACGACACAACCTTATTTCTAAAAAATAAAAAGGAAATATCTAAGATACTAAATGTAATAGAAACATTTGGAACATTCTCAGGGCAAAAACTAAATAGAACAAAAACTGAAGGAATATGGTTAGGTAAGCAAAAACACAGCATAGACAAATTTGAAAACATTAATTGGACAAATGGACCAATTAAGTCTTTAGGAATATATTTTGGTTTGAACAAAAAAGAGTGTCAAAAGTTAAATTTTGATAAACAGCTCCAAAAATCAGAAAAAAATATTAAATACTTGGAAGAAAAGAAATCTAACGATGATAGGTCGAATAACTGTTGTTTAAACTTTCATCATCCCAAACTTGACATATTTAGCAACAGTATCCAATATAGACAAGGATCATTTAACACAATTTAATAAAATTATTTTTGATTTCATTTGGAACAATCGAAGTGAAAAAGTGAAAAGAACTGTACTATGTACCCCAGTGTTACAAGGTGGTCTAAATATGACAGACATTGTAAAACAAATTGAAGCAATTCAAATAGGAGGGGTCAAAAGATTAAAATCTCCTGAAACCTCTAACTGGAAAGTTATACCGAGATTCTTCTTTGATAACTTTGTTTTTAATATGAACATAGAAAATATGAATTCAATATCTAACATAAATAAGTACAAAATACCAGACTTCTACTTAGAAATAATAAAAACATGGATAAAATATACAAAGGGGAAAACTGCAACACCTGAAAACTTTAGATCAATCCGACAACAGATTATATGGGGGAATAACTATATTAAAGATAAGGGTAAATGCCTTGTTTTTTTAAAATTGGATTGATAGTAAAATAATTCATATAAATGACATATTAGATACCAATGGGAAAATATCAGAAAAGGTAGTACTTGAGAAATTAAAAAACAAAACTAATTGGATTGCTGAAATGCCAAAACTTAAAAATGCTATTCCAATAAAATGGAAAAAAAATGATTGAGCATGAGAATTCAGTTAGGACTAAAGTTTTAACCAAGCTGAACATCAAAATAAATAGTCGTCCGTAACTTTTATTAAATAATATGGAAACAAAAAATATTCATAAATTCATTAAAGTGCAGGGTAAAGAGACACCACTAGGATTCTTAAAATGGAATCGTCTATTAAATATTGGTAATTTAAATAAAAAAACAGAAAGCATTTTAAAATTCACTCATTTTTTTCTGAAAGATAATACACTAAAAATATTTAGATGGAAACTTTTGCACTATATCTTACCTGGTAAAGTCTTATTGAAGCAATGGAAAATAAGTACAAGCTCAAACTGCCATGAATGTAATATAACAGAAGATTACGAACACATGTTTTTAATATGTAAAACATTAAAAGTATTTTTAGAAAAAATAAAAGATATTTTAGGAAAAATTAAAATAGGAACTCATATTCTAAGCTTATCAAATTTAGCATGGGATATAAAATTGAACAGGAAGAATACTATGAAGTAAACTACTTATTAACAATAATCACATACGCAATTTATAAGGCATACTACATTTCTGAACAAAGACCAAAACTTGTCAACACTTTTTGCATTTTCAAATCATATTTCAAGAAATTTTCGAAATGGAGTGTAAACGGCAGGTTAAACTTAATGTTCTTTGCAGTGTTGCACAAATTTTAAGTACTTTGTAACTAGATTTAAGGTACATTTATGTTTATTTTTTTTTATGTTATAGATTTATGTAATATTATTATCACTTTGACATTTATAGAATAGAACCATATAATTATATGGTATAGGTGTATAAGCTGACATTTGTGTTCAGATATATGGATTGAATCCCAACAAAAATTGGATGATTTTATCAGACATGCAAACAACGCACACCAGTCAATTAAATTTACATATGAAATTTCCGACTCCAAAATATCTTTCTTAGACACTACTACATCTATTAAGGACGGTGTCATATCAACAGATCTCTACTGTAAACCTACAGATAAACATCAGTACCTTTCTCCCCAAAGCTGTCACCCCAAACTTTGTACAAAAAGTATCCCGTACAGTCAAGCTCTCAGAGTAAAGCGGATTTGCTCCTCTGAGGAGGCTGTCACTAAAAGGTTACAGGAACTTCGCGGTTTTTTTACCAAACGAGGTTATAAGAAATTGGACATAGATCAGGGATTTGCGCGTGCTAATAACAACAGCCGCAATGACCTATTACAGTACAAACAGAAGAGGCGCAACAAAATAGTTCCGTTTGTTTTAATATACAATCCCGCCTTCACTAACCTTTCACGTTTGATCCGTGCCAATTGGCAAACTATTGCCAATCACCCAAAATTATCCAAGATCTTTCCCAATCCTCCTGTCTTAGCTTTTCGGAGACCAGCAAGTCTGAAAGACTTATTTGTGAGAGCTGACGTCTCCTCTAATAAAAGCTGTTCAACTGCAGGATGGTGCAAGTCGTGTGGTAACAGACGATGTCTGACTTGCCGACAAATACTGAATACTCAAACATTTACTTGCCACTCCACTGGGTCTGTGTACACTATATTTTGTAATGTAACTTGCAAAACACAGAATGTTGTATACCTTCTTCAGTGTCGATGTGGCATGCAGTATATTGGCGAGACAGAACAGCCTTTCAACAAACGCATGAATGGTCATCGAAGTGACTACACCTGCAATTCCGACCTCCCCGTAAGTCGTCATTTGAGATCACCTGGGCACGCCCAAGCTGATCTCAAAAACCTTACAATCACAATCATAGACCACAACGAGGGTTGGTCAAGGGCCGAAAGACTTGCTCGGGAAAGGTTTTGGATAAGATGGATAAGAAAGCTAAGAACAGTTTCCCCAGAGGGCATAAATGAAAAAACATAGAATGAGTCACTCATTTTCCCTACCATCACTCATTTTCCTGACATCTTTTGTTTCCAGTTACTCCGGCTTCCTTACTTGACTCTTACAGTTTTAAGGATTCTTTTGGAATTTTTGGAATTTTACTAGTTTAAATACCAGGGTTCTTTTCATTTGGTAGGGATATACAAGTACGCATCCACGTCCAACTTTTAACCTTAGCCCAAATTTACTATTATTTTTTCTTTTCATTATAAAACTGCTATTTATTTGGAATGATAAATACGCAGCCTCTGTTTGTCATATTTTACCAGCTTATATCGATCAGTGCTGTTCTTTTGGGAATGTATTTACACGCAGTTGTTGTAACATCTTAACTGACGTCATTTTGGAATTTAAAGTTGTGCCAGTTCATATCTATAATTACTATTTTCATTTTAGGCATGTCTTTGAGTCGTTAATTGGAAGTTTTAAAAATTTATTAGCGTCTCTACATATGATGTTCAGGTGAAACTGTTTCACTTTTTTTATTGTATAGAATTCAAGATTTCTATAGTTTAATAATCAGAATAGATTTATCTGATTCATTTTACATCGTGCTCATATTGATGAAGGATATCTGTTATCCGAAATATTTATAGTTACATTTGTTCGTTTATTGTAATTTTTTGGTGATGTTGTACCCTTTTAGACTGGTTATATATTATATTTTGTAGTGTACTGTATCATATTTATATGATCCATCGCCCCGTAAGATTTATCGTCGGCTATTATTCAGTCATTTATATATATATATATATATAAAACGTCTGAATAATAGTCAACGATTTTTCCCACGAGGGCGCTGGATCGTTACGAGTAACGATACATGTACACAATAAATAAACTATATAAACGCCTAAAAAGTGTACACAACAACACCAATAACAAAAAAAGGAACTATAAATGTAATTATTTATAAATATTTCGGATAACAGACATCCTTCATCAGTAAATATGATTGTGATGTTAAATGAATCATATATCAGTCTACTTAGATTAAACTATAACAATCTTGAAATTTATACAATAAAAAAGTCAAACCGAACATCAGGTAAGACGCTTGCACAATTATTAAAAGCATATATTTGAACTCTCTGTTGTAATTAGTCATATAACCTATGTCGTGTTTAACACATATTTA